GGGGGGGGGGGGGCACAGAGAGGAGACGTGACCTGTCCAATCGCCACCCAGCCAGCCTGGCAGCGAAAGGCTCATCAGGGCTGGGAATTGCATTTACGTTCATATCTGTATGCGCGTCCGGCTCCGCCCCATTCAGACTCTAAGAGCCAAGATGGACGCCTCCCAGGCGGCCCTGGCCCGGGGCTGCTCCTTGGGAGCTGTGCTGGGACTACTGAGGGTTTCGACTAAGAGGGTTCCGCAGGTTTGGGCGCCCCGGCACGCGGGAACTACAATTCCCGAGAGGCCTTGCGACAGGCGCCATATTTCCTCCTCGTTTGGCTAAGCCGGCTTCCGGGAGGGCGCTGCCTCTTGCGTAATCGGCGCGCGCGGCCCCCGTCGCGGAGTGATTACGTCAAGGCCCGGGCCCCGGCTGTCACTCACGGCGGGCCGGGTAAGCGCCGAGGGGCCCCCGCGGCCCGCGCGGCCATGGCGGCGGTGTTTGACCTGGACCTGGAGACGGAGGAAGGCAGCGAGGGCGAGGGCGAGGGCGAGCCCGAGTTCAGCCCCGCGGTGAGTTCTCCCGGGCGCCGCTCGATCCCAGAGCCGGTCCCATCACCTCGGCGATGGGATCGCCTTGGCTCCCCCCAGCCAGAGTGGGCTCCGGTCCTGCAGACCCCGATCTTTCTCAGGCCCCGGCCCCTATGCAGCTCCTACCCTACCGTCACCCCGCCCTGCCTCCCAGGACCCTCCCCCTCCCCCTGATCCTTCCTTGTCTGCCCTGGTCCTCTCCTCCCCGGTCGTGGCCCATCACCTGCCAGCTCCGGTTCCTGACACCCGCCTCTCCCAGCTGGTGGGGGAGGGACCGTGGCACCTCCCTTGCCTCTTACCCCTCGGTTTCTCACAGGACGTGTGTCCCCTTGCCGAGTTGAGGGCGGCTGGCCTGGAGTGAGTGACGGTCGCGTTGGGGGAGGAGGGAATGGGCTGGGAAAGGGCACCTGGGGAGCTTGGGTCCTCGCCCCCACTGACTCCCTGTGTCCACAGGCCTGTGGGGCAGTATGAGGAGGTGGAGCTGACAGAGACCAGTGTGAACCCCGGCCCCGAGCGCATTGGGCCCCACTGCTTTGAGCTGCTGCGTGTGCTGGGCAAAGGGGGCTATGGCAAGGTACTGGCCCTCCCTCCTTCCTCAGTGGCCTCGCAGCAAAGGGTTCTCAAAACAAGCTAGGCTTGCAAATCCGGAGAGCCTTCGGCAGAACTCGAGGTAGAAACACAAAGGAGGGAAGGGCAAATCCGCTCAGAATCAGACTTGAAATCTTTACTGCCCCACCCTTAGGTGGGCATCAGCCTCTTGGTCCCAGTGCTTCAGGGCGGGGCCTTTTGAAGGCAGGGTGTGGAGAGGGAAGTTGATCCTGTCTTCCCTGCCCTACAGGTGTTCCAGGTGAGAAAGGTGCAGGGCACCAACCTGGGCAAAATATATGCCATGAAAGTCCTGAGAAAGGTGAGTTATTTGTTCAGCCAACAAATCTGCCATCCCTGATGCACTACACTAGGTTTTGGGAAGACAGCAGTGAACACGATGGAAGAGATGGTCCCTGTCTTGGGCACTTGCTGCTCTGTTGTCAGTTGTGATTACAGTCGTGCGTGCTTAATGAGGGCATACACTCTGAGCAGTGTGTTGTTAGGCAGTCTCATTGTGCGAACATCAGTGTGTACTTACACAAACTTAGATGGTCTCGCCTACCGCACGCAGAGGCTAGATGGCAGAGCCTGTTGCTCCTGGGCTACAAGCCTGTACAGCACATTACTATACAAAAAGCACAAGATTAAATCAAGCATAAGGGAAAGTGATGCAATCCGGAGGTGTTGTAAGCCAGATGTGCGAGGCTGTGGCCAGTGTAGCAGGACACACTGTTGTATAGGAAACTTTCTTATAAGTAGAAAGAGCACACTCTAAAATAGAGATTAAAAAGTATAGTATAGCATGTGCATAAGTCAGTAGCATAGTCTTTTATTATCGTTCACAAGTATTATGTATTCCGCATAATTGTAGGTACTATACTTTTTTAAAAAATATGTTTTTATTGGTTTCAAAGAGAGGAAGGGAGAGGGAGAGAGAGAGAGATAGAAACATCAATGATAAGAATCATTGATCGGCTGCCTCCTGCACGCCCCCTACTGGGGATTGAGCCTGAAACCCCCTGACTGGGGATTGAATCGCGACCTCCTGGTTCATAGGTCCACGCTCAACCAGTGAGCCACGCCAGCTGGATGATACTATACTTTTATACAACTGGCTGCACAGCCGGTGTGTTTATGCCAGCATCACCACAAACATGCCAGGAATGCATTGTGCTGGGGCTTTGCCTCATCACTAGGAGATAGGAATTTTTAGCTCCATTATAATCTGTGGGACCACGTCATATGTGCTTCGTTGTTGACTGAAATGTCACTATGCAGCACATGACTATATGTTGTTTCTGCAGTAATTCTCAACCGCGGGCAGTCTTGCCTCTAGGGGACATTTGGTAATGCCTGAATACATTTTAGAGTCATGACTAGAGAGGGGTGCTACTGGAATCCATGGGTAGAGGCCAGGGATGCTGCTTAATATCCTTCAGTGCACAAGGCAGGCCCCACACCAAGGAATTATCTGCCCAAGACGTTAGTAGTGTTGCAGCCAAGAAACACTACCAGAGGGCAAACCAGTCCCTGCCAAGGATGATTGCCGATAGCAACAGATTCAGGGAGAAATACAATGGAGTGGTAGAGGGTGGCTGAAGGATAATGGCTGGAGGGACTGAAGGAGCCCCGAGTGCCCATCTTCTAACTGATCCCTGCCTCTCCAGGCTAAAATTGTGCGCAACGCCAAGGACACGGCGCACACACGGGCTGAGCGGAATATTCTGGAGTCAGTGAAGCACCCCTTCATTGTGGAACTGGCCTATGCCTTCCAGACTGGTGGCAAACTCTACCTCATCCTCGAGTGCCTCAGTGGTATGAGGGGGCCCAGCTAGGGCATGGGCAGGGCCAAGGAGCCAGCACAGGAAGGCCTGGGGGCCCTGGGGGAAGTCTGGAGAGATACGGTGTGTGGACCGGCTAGGGGGGCCCCACCCCCATCCATCAGTCTGTCTGTCCATCCCTTCATCCATTCATTCGTTCATTCATTTATTCTTCATTCATTCAGCAAACATCTGCCCAGAGCCTACTGTGTCCCTCACCTGTGTTGGGGGTGGATGGGAATGGTGGGAGTTTGTTTAGAAGTCTAGAGGGTTGTTTTGTCCATTTCCACTGTCCCTTCATGTCCTGTTCCTTTCTCCTGTGTGTCCTGCATCCAGTCAGGTCCCAGACCCAGCTGGGTCATTCTCTGCCATGTCCTCCATCCCTTCCACTCTCAGGGGGAGGGGAGGCACAGTTTTGTCTGACTCCGGCTCACCCCTCCTAGTGTCCCCCACTAGCTCCCAGGGTCGTTGTCTCAGCCTGGCACTGTTCCCAACGCTTCTCAGAACTGATGGCTTCCTGGAACTGCGTGGGTAAAGCCTGGCCTCCCCGGCCTGGCTTCTCCTTGGGCCTCCTGTTGGCCATGGAGCAGTCCAGGCCTGCTTTTCCCTCCTACCCATCTGAACCAGATGAGCCCTGAGAGCTCCATCCTGGGGGCCCTGTTTCAGCGCCCCTCTAAGTCCCGCTGCTACCGCGGCCTTCCTGCCCCGCTTTGGGATTCATTTTGTCCCCCTTAGTCTCCTCTGTGAGATATTTTGGGGTTAAGCTCTTGGAGCTGTCGCCTCAGTCTGGTATGTCTGTCTCCCGTTAGACTGAGTGTCCTGAGGCCAATGGCTGGGTCTCTTTATCTCTGTGTCCCCAGCTTCACCCAGCACAGGGCCAGGCACCGAGTAGGCGTCGGTAGATGTTTGCTGAATTGAATTGAACCCCCACGGCAGCTCTGTGAGGCAGGTAGGGCGGGAATTATGGGCCCTACTCCCCTAAGAAGAAACCAAAACTTGGAGAGCAAGGAGCTTCTTCCCAGCACACAGCTGCTGACGTGTTTGTGTCCCAGGCGGTGAGCTCTTCACGCACTTGGAACGAGAGGGCATCTTCCTGGAAGACACGGCCTGGTGAGTGTTGCTTCTGCCTCTCCCGGGGGCTGCAGGGATCCCCAGGGCCTGCCTTCCCCACTTCACTGTTGCTTCACTCTGCTCTGTCTCTGCAGTTTCTACCTGGCGGAGATCACATTGGCCCTGGGCCACCTCCACTCCCAGGGCATCATCTACCGGGACCTCAAGCCCGAGAACATCATGCTCAACAGCCAGGGTGCGCGTGCGCAGTCGTATCTACCAGTGGGAACCTGCGGGGAGGGCTGAGGGGCCCTGGGGGTGTCCAGGGCCCTGACCTCCCGCCTGACATTCTTCCTCAGGCCACATCAAACTGACAGACTTCGGACTCTGCAAGGAGTCGATTCATGAGGGTGTTGTCACTCACACCTTCTGTGGTACCATCGAGTACATGTAAGGGACAGCTGGCTGGGCCCGGGGGTCAGGAGGACAGCCTGGAAGGGCCTGGCCCAACTGATGGTTCCACCCGGCTCCCAGGGCCCCTGAGATTCTGGTGCGCAGCGGCCACAACCGGGCGGTGGACTGGTGGAGCCTGGGGGCCCTGATGTACGACATGCTCACTGGATCGGCAAGTCCAGCCTCCTTGGAGGGCGGGAGTGGGGGCAAGAGCAGGTCCCTCTCCTGGGCAGGGGTGGGGCCCGGAGCGAGGCCCACAAGGCTCCTCTCACGGTCCTCCTCCTCCAGCCACCCTTCACTGCAGAGAATCGGAAGAAAACTATGGACAAGATCATGAAAGGGAAGCTGGTGCTGCCCCCCTACCTCACCCCGGATGCCCGGGACCTCGTCAAAAAGGTGGGCTCCCCCCTGCGCTTGGCCCAGCCTCCATCTCATTTCCCAGGCCCTGCATGGGTTCCTGAGTGCCTCTGGGCTGTGGGGAGCCAGAGCCATGGTGGCCTGTGCAGTGTGCCTTTGGGTTGGAAAGGCACTGGCTTTGCGGTCCCAGACATTGAGCTTGGGGCTGCTCTGATGCAGAGCAGCTGCTGACCATGGGAAGTCCCTGGTCTGAGCTGTAATCTGCACCATTCGTGATGAGCTGGCCGCACTTCCATTAAAAAGGTGATCAGGGGTGTAGAGAGGGGGAGGCCTCAGGCAGATTGGGAGTTGGGTCCCCACTAAAGCACCCTGGAGTGATGCCGGCAACCACATGCCTTTGCGAAGGCTTTATGGAGAAGGGGGCATTGGACCAAACCTTGGAAGTCTGAGAGTGTCAGTAGGTGGAGGTCATACTCCAGAGGTCTTCTCCTTCCACATCTCTCCCCTCTCCCCTCACCCCGGCGAGCCCCTGGGAGCATGGGGACATGTGAGCAGTACCTCTGTCCCAGACCCTCATCCTTTGCCCTATCCTACAGTTCCTGAAGAGGAATCCCAGCCAACGGATTGGGGGTGGCCCAGGGGACGCTGCTGATGTGCAGGTGGGTCTGGAGCCACCACGAGAGGGTGGGGCCGTAGGGCAGAGAGAGTACCAGAGGGAGCCAAGGGGGTGAACTGTTGGCATGTGTGGGGGTGCTCTACCCACAGAGGCACCCCTTTTTTCGGCACGTTAATTGGGATGATCTCCTGGCCCGTCGTGTGGACCCCCCTTTCAGGCCCTGTCTGGTGAGTGGTGGTCCCATTGGCCCAGTGGTGGGTGGAGGACCCCGGCTTGAACACCCCTTGACCCTTCCCCACTCGGGTCTGCCCACAGCAGTCCGAGGAGGATGTGAGCCAGTTTGACACCCACTTCACGCGGCAGACGCCAGTGGACAGTCCAGATGACACAGCCCTCAGTGAGAGCGCTGACCAGGCCTTCCTGGTGCGGTTTGGGGGGCCTGCGGGTTCTGGGGACACTGGTGGGCTTTGTAGCCAAGGACCGGTAAATGCTGAGCACTGCCCCGCACTGCCTCTGCCCCCCAGGGCTTCACATACGTGGCGCCCTCCGTCCTGGACAGCATCAAGGAGGGCTTCTCCTTCCAGCCCAAGCTGCGCTCCCCCAGGCGCCTCAACAGCAGCCCCCGGACCCCTATCAGGTACTCGGGGCAGAGGGGAGCCTATAGCTGGGGTAGGAGGCAGGTCTAGCTGTGGGTCTGCCATCAACCCGGGGCTGCCTTGGCTGAGTCTCTTAACCAGCATTAGCCTGTTTCCCATCTACCGCAGGGACCCCTTGTAGCAGGGGCTGCCTGGGTGGGCACTTGCCCTCAGCCTGTGCACCCAGGCACGTGGGGAAGTCAGACTCCTGCCCTGGTGCCAGGAGGCTCTAACTGCCTTGGTTCCCCCTACAGCCCCCTGAAGTTCTCACCCTTTGAGGGGTTCCGGCCCAGCCCCGGCCCACCAGAGCCCATGGAGCCCCCTCTACCTCCTCTCCTGCCACCGCCGCCACCACCACCACCGTCGTGCACTGTCCCGCTCCCCATCCGACCCCCCTCGGGGACTAAGAAGTCCAAGAGGGGCCGTGGGCGCCCTGGGCGCTAGGAGTGTGGGCAGGGATGAAGACAGCTGTTGAGGCTCCTCCCCACAGGCCGCCAGGGCAGCAGGACCCTGGGGGCATCTTGGGGTACAGGAATGTGTGTGAGGGTGTGTGTTGGGAGTGGCTATGCCCCTGAATCATCAGCAGGAAGGGCTGGCTGCACATGGCTGCCGTTGGAGGGGCCTCCCGTAGCTGAGCTGTGCCCTTGCGGAATTAAAGTATCAAATCATGGCACTGACCTTGTTCTTCCTTTGGCCGTCTGGGGGTGGGAGTGGGCAAGATCGTGTCAGAGGAGCCCCTGCTTAGGGACAGAAGGGTCACTACAGGACCACAAAACTGGAGGAATTTTTAAAAATAGTTTATTAATTTTTAGAGAAAGGAAGGGAGAAGAGAGAAACATTGATGTGAGAGTGTAACATGGATGCGCTGTCTCCTGCACACCCCATACCGGGCGTCGAGCCCACAACCTGGGCATGACCAGAAATCAAACCAGCAACCTCCTGGTGCGTAGGACGATGCCCAGCCAACTGAGCTACACCTGCCAGGGCTGGAGGGATTTTATTTCAGAGGCTGCTCAATGCCCCTGGGAATGGGTGGCCTTCCTGGAGGAGGCAGGGATGCACAGCTTTGGGGACAAAACTGGGGAGCCGAGTGACAGTCTGAGGCTCTCCATGTGGGGGCGGGGGTGATAGTGGGGTCCAGGGCAGGCAGTGTCCGGTCATGGCAGCTGGGGAAGCAGAGGCACAGTGACAGGGATGCCCCCAGGGCTGGCCCCTACAGTGCAGTGACATGGAGGCCCTTGCCCCCAGCTGCCCCAGCGCTGTCGTCCCAGGCTGCGCTGCCAGCAAAGGCATGCAGGTCGCTCAGCAGGGCCTCAGCACTGCCTGCTGAGCCCTCCGGCCCCTGGGAGCTGAGGCCCAGGCTCCCTTCAGTGTCACCGTCATGCGCTTCCTGTGCGGGCTGTGGGCCCTGCTGTGGGCTGAGCTGTTCTCCATACTGCGGCTCCTTTCCCTGGGGTTTGGTCTCCCGGCCGCCATCAAGGCTGTGGTCTTCCTCATCCTGCTCGTCCTCCTGCCCCTCTGGGCCCCCATCTGGCGACTCTAGCTCAGCCCGGGCCTGGAGCCAGCGGCCTGGTGGGCTGGCCCAGAGCAAACGGCGGGTGCGGCCCCACAGCGCAGCGCCCAGGCGGACCGGGTGGTAGTAGCCTCCTGAGTCGCGGCTGAGACGGTGCCAGGCCAGGGCCAGGCCAGTGACCAGCAGTAGGAGGAGCAGCAGCAGCAGGATCACAGTGGCAGAGCTGGAGCCCCCACTGTCCTTGGCACCACCACCAGAGCCCAGGACCCCTGGCAGGGCCAGCAGCGTCCCAAGCCCTAGGGTACAGGGCAGGTCCTGTGAGGAGAGAGGCAGGGCTCGTCACCCTGGCTGGGGGCCAGGACATGGGCATGCTGGGTGATTGGGTCCTTGGTTGCCTTTTGGGCAAAATGGGGACAGTCAAGCAGAAAAGCTCAGGTCCTTACTTGGCCAACAAGGCCCTTACCCTGTGAGATCTATCCGCCACCCTCTCTCCCACTGCACATTATATGCCCGACTCGGGGGGGGGGTCAGAGGGGAACTCTGCCCGGAATGTTCCATTCCCTCCGCCCTTCCTCCCCGCCACATGGCTCTCCTGTTCACCTTAGCTCCGGGTACCTCAGTGACCTGGATCAATACCCTGATCTCCTCCCTGCAGCCCAGCCCAGCCCTGCTTCACTACCCACCCCCACTCCTAGCCCAGTGGGTAAGGCTGCATTTATTAAGTTTCTTGTCTTATCTGCCCCACCAGAATCAGCTGCAGAAAGACAGGGATCTTTCTGGTTCAAGCACCTAAGCAATTCCTGACACACAGTTGGTGTTCAATAAATATTGACTCTCAGGACTGTCCGCGGGGGTAGGGGTGGGGATGGAAAGGAGCCTGCAAGGTTGGGGTTGGGGTTGGCTCTTCCTGAGGCCTGGGTTGGAGGAACCGGTCTCAAGGCAACTGTTTACTGTCCTCTCCGCCAGGTCCCAGGAAGGGGGTCCCTGAGACGACTCTTGCCCCCAGGCCCTCGGGACTGCCCCAGCTGCAGCATTTCCGTTCAGTTTAGCTTTCTTGTCTCTGGGGGCCACGGGCTGGGGGAGGCGGGTGCAGCTGCCAGAGGAAACCTGCGGTTGGAACAAGGCAGGTGGGGGGGGGAGGGGTGCCGAGTTACAAGCAAGACTCCCCTCCCAGGCAGGCTTCAGGGATGCTCACCAGCAGAGTGGGGGAGGGTCTCTGGGGGTCTTAAAGGGAGTCTGGGCCACAACCTGAGTCCCAGGGAGGCCCAGCTCTGAGGTGCGGTGAGAGAAAGGCCCCTCTTCTGCCCCACATCTGTCCCGGCTGTGCTCTCTGTCCTCTGCCGGGACTGGTTGCTTTTGGCCCCAGAATCCTTCCTTAACTCCCAGGCCTAGACATTCCAGCTCTGACCTCCTGTTACCCCCCCCCCCC